GCGATGTTCTCTCCTACCGTTCCAGCGCCTCCGAAGGTGTAAAGCTAGGTTTATGATCTCCGCCTTCTTGGTACTGTAGGTCTCTAACGAGCTCCATTATGTTTATTCTCTGAAATTCAGTTCTTCCAATCTTTTGTTGTATTTTGGAGGGGAGAGAATCCCGGGTCAGCTCACCCCGCCATTTTGCTCCGCCTTACTTCCATTAGTTTTTGAAAGATACTTTCGCTGCCTACTGAATTCTTGGTTGACAGTTTCTTTCAGTACTTTAAAGATGTTGCTTTAGTCTTCTCTCTTGCATTGTTTCTGACTAGAAATCTGCTAACATCCTTGTCTTTGTTCCTTTTCATGTAAGGTGACTTTTTTGTCTGGTTGCTTGTAAGGTTTTCTCTTTATCACTAATTTTGAGTAATTTTATTCATGTCAACATTGTAGTTTTCCTCTCTAGGTGTTCACTTGGGGTCTTTTTTGCATCTTCTATGTCTCTATACTAACTTTTTGAACATATAGATTACAGTTATAATAACTATTTTACTGTCTTTGTCTGCAAATTCTAACCTTTGTGTCCAGTTCTGGTTGGTTTTAGTTACTTGATTTTTCTCCTCATTATGGGTTAAACTTTCCTGCTTCTTTGCATACCAGGTAACTTTTTATTGGATGCCAGATATTATGCATTTTAACTTACTGGGTGTTGGATATTATTGTATTCCTATAAATATCCCTGAGTTTTGTTCTGGGATGCAGTAAGTTACTTGGAAACAGTTAAATCCTTTTGGGTCTTGCTTTAAAGATTTGTCAGCTAGAGACATAGCGGCATTTAGTCTTGGACTATTTATTCCCCACTTCTGAGGCAAGATCCTTCTGAATACTCTACACAATTCTACATGAATTATGAAGTTTTTCCAGTTCAGCTAGTGGGAGCAGACACTATTCTTGGCCCTGTGAGGGTATCTGGCAGTGTTGCCTTTTATCCTTTCAAGAGGTTCTTTCTGCGGCTTTGGATAGTGCTCTGGTCTGAGTGTTTGTGCCCCTCCTCCTAACAAATTCATATGTTGAAATCATAACTTCTAAAGGTGGTGGTAGTAGTAGATGGGACCTTTGGGAGGTGCTTAAGTCATGAGGGTAGAACTCTCACGAATGGGATCAGTGCCTTGTAAAAGAGGCTCTGCAGAGCTCCTAGCCCCTTCCATTATGTGAGGGGACAATGAGAAGTCTATGACCCAGAAGAGGGCCCTCACCTGACCGTGCTGACACCTGGATCTCAGACTTCCAGCTTCAGGACTGTGAGAAACAAATTGTTAGTGTTTATAAGCTACCCAACCTGTGGCATTTTGTTAGAGCAGCCCAAATGGACTAAGACAGGGAGTTTCCTCACGAGTGTGCTGACTAGCATTCTGCTGAATACTGAGGGGACCCTCTGCAGCTTTCTTGTCTCCAGTGCTCTGCCCTAGGGACTCCAGCTGCCTTGATCCCCTCAGACTCTCAGTCCCCTGGGCTCTGCCTGGGTCCCCCTCCCTGCACTGGCCTCTGGAAACTCTGCAGGCACTAAACTGCTGAAACCGTAGAACTCCTCGCATTCGTTTCCCAACTCTTCATGATCACTGTCCTTCATGACTTGATGTCTGGTATCTTGAAAACCATATTTCCTATATTTCATTCAGATGTTTTTATTCTTTTAGGTGAGAGAGTGAAGTTAGTCCTTCTTCTTCCATCTCTGGAAGGGCATTTTTAAATTTTGCTTTTAATTTCTACAAACATTGTGATCAGAGAATTCTATTTGTAATAGTCCTACTATGGAACTTACGTTTCCTTTGTGATATATGATAAACTTCAATGAATGTCTCATGTCAGCTTGATCAGAATGTATGTTCCTTATTAAAGGCTTCAGCATTTAATATATATTTATGAAAGTTATCATTGATGTTGGTTAGGTCTTCTCTATCCATACTTACTTTTTGTTTATTCTTGTTTTGAGAGTGGTGTGTAAAATTCTTTTATCACTATTGTTTCTATTTCTCCTGGCATTGCTGTAATTTCTATTTTATATAGAGGTGGTTTCTATTTATCTGGCACATAGATATTAATAACTGATGTATTTCATTGTTGATTGTGGCTTTTGAATTACGTTTTTGTTTTGTTTGATGATTTTTGGCCTAAACTCTGCATTGTCTAATATTAGGCTTGCTACCCAGGCTTTAGAGGTCTTTCATTTTACTATATAACTTTTCCCATCCAGTTTTATTTTTTAGCTTTTGAATCACTTTGTTTTAATTGTTTCCCCTGTATTTGGAAGAGAACGGAGTTTTGCTTTATAAGATATTTTGAAAATCTGTCTCTTTTATAGGCAAGTTAATCTCATCCACATTTATTGATATGACTAATATATTGGGTGCCAACTCCTTATGTCATTTCATATTATAATTAGTCTATGTATTATATTATATTTACTGTTTCTTTCTCTATATGCCTCCTTCACTTTTTTTTAAAAAAATTGCTTTGATATTTATAGAAATGTACAGTTTTGCTTTGGTATTTACCTTTGCACTGATATCTTTTAAGATATCCTTATTTGCCTTTTTTCTTATTTAATCTTTTACTACCTGGATTGTCAATTCTAAATGATATCATTTGATTCCTTTCTGTTCCCTCTGCAACAATGACCCTTTTCTGCTTTCTTCTTTCTGACTTCCTTCTCAGCTCAAATTTTAATTTGCATTCTTTCTACTTTGTCAGAACGTATGACATTTACAAATTATTTTCCACCCTTGTTCCTGATCCTTGTTTAAATTTTAGGTCTACACTTAAATATACTACATGCTCACTATCATTCATTTGCCAAAGTTTCTCCAGTCACCTCTTGATTGGATAGAATTCATCCTCTGTTAGTTACCCAACAAGGGCTCATGGGTACAGAATTCTCTCACTCTTTGCATATATGATTTGTTTTTCTATAGCCTTGATAATTAAATGATGACTTGGCTGCATATAAAGTCCTTGGTTCATAATTTATTTCTTCCCCTTTGGTTACTTGTAAATAATGCTCCATTTTTGCCTTGCTTTGCAGGTTGCTCTTGAATATCCTGATGCCAATATAATTTTCAAACTCTTGTAGATATTGTGCCCGGAGGCCTTGAGTATTGTTTCTTTGTCTTTAAAGTCTAATAATTATATAAGCTATGTCTCTGAGTTGATCATCTCAATTTTCCCAGGCACATCATTGTCCCTTACATAAATTTAGGTTTTCTTTTATTTCTATAAAGTGTTCTTGAATTCCATTTAAAAAATATTAGTTCTACTCTATTGTTCCCTCCAATTTTCAGGGACACCAGTGTTCTTGAACATGTGAGGAGTGGGATATAGCAGAAAAGTGGAGAACTGGCTTTAGATAGGAGCAGAGATAGTTCACTTACTATAATGGGCAAGAAAGCAGGGTGTGGACCTGGATGCGGATGGGTGGGGATGTGGAGCTGGTGTCTAAGGAAGCTCTCTTCGCATTGCTTTGGTTTTCCTGGTGGTAAGGAAGCAAGATCTAAACTAACTCTCTAATTCCCCCTCCCTGGGAAAAAGGATGAGGATGAGTACATTTGCCAAATTTAGATTGGTAGTCTGAATGTGAATCATTTACCAAAATCTGTGTACAGTGTTCTAGAAGGAGCTCAGAGGACAATCACTCGTTGGTCGTTCTACCCAGTAGAAGACCCATAGCTGCTTCCTCCTGGGATTTGTTCATGTCCAGAAGGACTGAAAACAGCATTGATGGGGGATATGAACTGAGGGAGAGGCCAGGCACATCTCTGCCAGGAATCTGGAGGATTGTCTGTGGGAGATGGTGGAGACCTGCCCTGTGTTGCGTTAGGAGCAGCGAGAGAAAGACACAGGAACATGGGTTTTGCATGAGTATAAGAAAGAACTTTAAAGGCCTGGATCAGGCTGTTGTGTGAGTAGGGGATCCTCCCTCCCAGGTAGTATTCATTAAGTGGGTGAATATCATGATGTCAGGGATGGTGGGTAGGAGATTCCTGGGTTAGCAGGGTGATTGACAGATGGTCTCCATAGCAACTCTAAGTTGACCATTACCTTCTCTCTCTGTCCAAACCGCCTCTGTCAACAACTCTTGTCCACTCTACCTTCAGCACATATTCAAGACTCAGCCATTTCTGACTTCCTCCATCTGAATTGCCCTCGACCAACACACAGTTTTCTCTCCCCTCAATTATTTCAATAGCCTTCTAGATGACTTCTCTGCTTTCTCCTTGGCCCTTATTCCCCTACCTCACCTTATTCTGGAAATAAAAGATTGATTCTGTTAAATTATTAGTCTGATAATGTCACTCCTCTGTGTCAAACTCCATGTGGATTCCCACGGATTCTACAAAGTCCTAACAACCGCCTACAAGGTCACACGCGATCTGCCCCTCCCCTGCCAAGCTCTGACTTCATATTGCACTGCACTCCTCTTTGCCCTGCGCTCCCTGATCACACGGGCCTCAGGGCTGTGCCCCAGACCTGCCAGTCCTGCTCCATCAGCCCTCAAAGGGCCTCAGCAATTTCTTCTTCCTGGAATGCTTCTGCCTCAGATATGTAGAGAGCCCACTTTCTTCTACTTTATTCTCAGATCTCATTATGTATTCAAAGAGGCTCTGCTTGCCCACTCTTCATAAAAAAGCACTCCCATTCTTTTACCTTCTTTTCTTTTTCACAATGGTACTTGTTGCCTACATATTATGTATTTAATTTTTGTTTATGTTCTGACTGCCTTGTCTGACAGTGGCTTTGTCTGATTTTTCGTTGCTGAATTCTCAGTGTCTAGAAGGGCCTAGCACAGAAGGAATGCTCAAGAAATATTTGTTACATAAATGAATACATGAATATGTGTGATTGTGTCTTCACAGGGAAACAAGACAATGTGACAATCAGTCAGGGCTTGTCTCCTTCCTCCTGAAGGGAGCAGAAGGACCAAAGGTTTTGTATGTTGTTAGGGCTTTAAACTTATTGTGTTCCAGTTCCAGGTAAGATGCAGTAAACACACGGCAGCCTCCCTCCCCACTGACAATAAAACCTGGACACAGTGCGTGGGGCAGCTCTTGGAAGTCTCTGAACAGTAAGTAGCAGCAAGTGGATGGGGAGTGAGGGAACCAGGAGTCCAAGTGCCACCAAACTGGTGGTGAATCGAGCATATAGTTTCCTTGGGTCTCCCCTGAGTGGAACTCAGCACAGCCTGAAGCCTGGAAGTGAGCACCTGGTGTAGACAGAGGAAGATGCAGGAGAAATCCTCAGGGCCTGGTTGGAGCAGTGAAACAGGGGACTCCTCCAATTCAGAGCATGGGGAGTATCCCCTGATTTTTCCTCTTGCTTTTCTCCACTTGTGTCTCAGCCATCAGGGAGTTGCAGAAAATGTGGCTGTGCATGTGCAAAGGCGGGGGCTGGGCCTCTGAGAAGGGAAGCCTGTATTCTGGCCTGAGGTGTTCTTTCTTTCCGCTTCCGGGGCCATAACCCACCATTGGGCACCTCAGGGCTCCTGGTACCTGTCGTTTGTACCTATCACTTTTTAATCTGAATTGGTGGGTGTGGGGCTGCACAAGCTCATGAGGACAGAGCAGCTGTCACATCTGGGACAATTCAAGAAGCCTGGCTCCAGAGCCCCCCTATAAATATCCTGTGGCTGGACCCTGCCCAACTTTACACCGAGGCCCTGGCCTCCTCAAATGAGGAGCTGAGCCCAGCCCCTTGACAAAGTGCAGAGGAGGGAGACAGAGAACCCTTGACCTTGTAAAAGCTGTCATGGTCTGTGGGTCAGCCGTGACTCCCTGGGAAAGGGGAGTGGAATAAAGCCGGAGCTCAGGGGGAGGGGAGCAAAGGAGGAGCCCCAAGATCTGGCCTTCCAGAATGTTCCAAGGGCACTGGATGGGCTAAGCCATGGCACCTGTGAGGAAAGACAGGAGTCCAGGAGGTGGGGCCCCTGCACTTGACTGTTCTGAGGCTCCATGAAGAGGAAGGTTCTTGGCACTGCAGAAAGGGCTTTATGATTGGGAAGGGAGAAGTGGTGTTTCCTGACACAGCTCCTGCTAAGTACTTCATATGTGCTATGCCAATTAATCCCCACTAAGCCCATGACGTGGGGTAGGACGCCCATTTTCTGGATGAGCAAGCCGAGGCACAGAGAAATTAAACAAACCCCTGTGTTGAAGGTCACAGTCCTTGTAAGTGACAGGGCTGAGTAAGCCTTCAATAAACACGTTTGCCTGCATTGGAACTGATATGAAACCCAGAAAATTCCTTAATTCCTGAAGTCCTGAATCCTAACACATGAGCCATGAACTGTGGCAGGCAGAGAAGCCAGCAGCAGTGTGAGGGAGATGTCACAATCAAAACAACTGACGTTTAGTGACTTGCTGAATGCAACATGCTCTGTCCCCTGTCATGGGAACTGGGAGGACATAGGCCCATGCCCCTGAGGTCTTCCCAGGGCTCCCTGAGGAACTGTCTCTGACCGACAAAGGCATGTGTGTTCTTCACACATCTCACCTGGTCCCTTTGTCTCTGAGGAGCATACTGCCAGGCAAGGGTGGATTGGCCAGAGGCCCGCCCTGTCCGAGGTGGCTCTCACAGCTGGGGGGATTCATGGCCCTTCGAGACTCCCCGACCTGCGTGTCTTCTCACTTATCAGAGAGAGCGACTCAGGCCTTCAGAGGGGAAGAGGTTTGCTTGAGTCTGAGGAGGAATTAGTTAAGACGGACTGCTGTTTCTGAGGAAGAGGCACTGAGGAACACACTGCAGCTTTGCAGTTGGGGGCTGGTGGGGGAGCCACAGAGTGGGCCAAGGGCGCTGGGCCGGGAGAGCAGGAGGCTCCTTCAGCACCCAAATTGGGGGGCTGCCCATCTCTTCGTGAGCGAGGGGTGTGGGGCTTTGTTTTGTGGCCTCAGTTGTTTAATTTGTAAAATGGCAATGGAGAAAAATGTAGCTCAGGGGGCTGTGTATTTATAAACTGAGAAGTACTGGGTAATTAAACACATAGCACATAGAACTCGAGCAATGGAAGTGTGAATGGTCTCCATTATAGTAATTATAGGTACCATTGTGATCAGCACATGTATTATTCATGATAATATTGCATAGACTGGGTCCTAGGAGCATTGGGCTGGCATAGTCAGTTTGGTGGAGGCCATCCAGTCTGGTCACCCCTATCTGATATTAGAATTCTCTGGTCAATATTTCTGACAAGGAATACTGATGCTATCCTGAGTAGCAATGGGCATGTTGAACTTGCCCATTCATCACTTGCCCTGGAGAAGTCATCCAGGGACTGGAAGAGGGGGTCCCTCTGCCCACCCACCTCCAGGCAGCCCCAGCCGACCAGATCCATCTTGTCCTGGATCCCTGAGCACAGGCAGATTTGGCATCCAGGATGGGCAGTGGTCACCATCTGAATAGGAAAATGGGCTCTGGGTGAAGCTTGGACTGGAGAACTTCCCGCAGTGCCTGCTGTCCTTTCAGCACCGAGGGGAGGAAAGAAAGGCAGGCGGGCACAGGGCCATGGTCCCAGTATCTGTTAGATGGCCCCAAAGAGCTCCTAATATCACTCCAGAGATGCACGTCACAGCGTGGATCCTGATTCCCTGGGACTCACATTCCCTGCCCCTCCCCAAATGAGGGCAGCACTGTCCACATTCATCTGCTACCTGGGAGGCGTCCTTTCACACAGTTGTTCTTAGCACACTCACCAAGCAGCCACACCAGGGAACAACACTGCCCCACCTGCCCCCGCCTTGCCCAAGTCCTGGACGTATGGAGAGCCCCTCCCTTCCTGCTAACAGAACCCCCGCCACAAAATGTAATGTCACCAGGAAGGTGATCCCACCCTTCACGTGGCTATCACTCTGCTCTAGGGCCAGTGAAGCCATAGGAGACGGTCAGTGCTCGAGGGGGAGGTGGGAAGCCCCCAGGCAGCACGGACCAGGCCTTCCTCCCTTACTTCTCATCTTTCTGCTCTCCCAAACCCAGTCCACCTGCTGGAGTGGAAAGTTAAACAGACTCTTGTCTTAACTTCCTCACCCCAAGCACAACTTCAAGCACTAAGGAAGAAGACAGAAAAACTCTCTTAAGGAATCTGTTCACCCAGCCTGATGCAGGCTCTGTTGGGGCCTGTGTGCTGGCCCAGCCCCTCAGCAGAGGGTGAAGCAGATGTTCTGGGATCAGCTTCAAGGCAGGCCTCGGGCGCACTGGGACACTTGGCTGGGGAGCAGGGACCTGCCCACGTGTGAAGATATGCGTGGAGGGGCGCAGCTGGCTGTGGGGTAGGGAAGGGAAGAAGTGGAGCAAGGGTGATGGGAGGAGGCCCATTTCTCCTCATGCCAGGATTCCAGCTCACATCCCAGCCCCGCATCTGAGCAATCCTGAGAACGCCACCTGAGAGAGGAGGAGCCGGGGCTGCTCTCTGCCCTTCTCATGCTCCCTTGTCGCTCAAGTTGGGGATGGGACACTCTGGGGTGATGGAGGGCCCCAGGTCCTATGAGCAGGTCCTTTTCCAGGAAACCAGAGCTCAGAGGGTGCAGGTGGAAGGAGCTGGGAAGGGTCGGTGGTGGCTCCCCAGGATTGGAAGAAGTGGCTTTCCCACATTTTTCTCGGTGTGGGTGGTGAGTCTTCTGCTGGGTTCCTGCTGGACTGTCAATCACGGGCTTTGATTCCTGTGAGAGAAAAAGACTATCAGGGGACACCTGGAGGACACCTGGCAGGAAGAGACCACGGACGCAGTCTCAGTGACACGCACAGCCATCTCCCTGTCCCCAACTAGGCCATCACACAGACTGGCGCTGTCGCACAGAAACACGGGGGGAATAAGGCATTGCTATTTTGGTCATCGTTATGGAGAGGAAACTGCAGCCCAGAGAGGTTTGGGCATTTTGTCCAGGTCACCCAGAGCTGAGACGGAAGAACTTCTTACAAATGAGATCTTCTGACCCAGGTCTGGACTTCCGTCCACCGCAGCCCTTCACCAGTCACGGCCACAGGAGGGGAGGTAGGAAACGGCACCGAGAAAGCAGCCCGTGAGGAAAGTGCCCGCACACCCTGAGGAGAGACAGGCCTGGGAGAGGCACACGGCCCGCTGGGCATCCCAGAGCGGGCTGGGGGTGGCTCCGCCGGCAGCACTGGGCCTCACAGTCCCCACTCTTGCATGGCACTCAGGCCATTGTCCTCCGTGGGATGGGGGGTGGACTCCTTCCAGGAGGAGAGGGGAGACACACGAGGGTGAGGCCCAGGAAGGGTGAGGGGGCTCGAGAGGGGCTTCAGGAGGCTTCTGCCACTGCCCACTCCCTGCCTGGGGGACACCTAAGGGGGGCTCCCTAGGTCTCCTTAGGAGCCTAAGCGGAGAGGCTCCTGACCAGCCCCCCATCCTGGGGGAGCCACTGGGGATACGGGGAGGGTACCCCTGTTCCAATAGCCATTGGTCTGCTGAATCCTGGCCCATGAGGGCAGCTGGTGCCAGCGTGTGGGGGTGGCTGGGGGTGTGGCAGGGGTTCCACTGGAGGCTGCTGTGGAGAAGGCAGCCTTGAGTGATTCAAGCAGGTAGGAGGCAATAACAACAAATTTTGGCCATACTACTTGCCATAGGAAATGCCAGCTGATGTTGTCTGAATAGAGTCAGGAGAAGAGAGAAAGGACAGATGGAATGTTCTCGTACCTTCTTTGTTGTTTTGGTTGATCCACTGTGCTGAGCGCTTTACTGTCGTTTCTCATTTCATCCTCACAGCCACTCTGAGGAGGGCGCTGTTGTCCCATTTCACAGAAGAGATCCCTGGGCAGGTGGGGCGGGGACAGGATGATTAGGGATGACACTCTGATAAGGAGAATCTCAGGCCACAAGAGTGGGCCCCTTCCAGACCGTCCCTCGGCCCAGCTTCCCACTTCCAGCCAAGGCCTCATGGCTTCCCGAGAGCCCAAGGGAATATCACCCAGGGGTAGGGACACCGGGGGCTCCAGAGGCTAGACTGACCAGGAGGACGAGCGCGTGGAGCGTGGTGGCCCCTCAGCAGGGAGGAGCTCAGAGGCGCGCACCTGGGCTTGCTGTATGGCAGTCTGGGCTGCGCATGCCCTCTGCTGCGGAGCGTTCTGCCCAGCCCTACCCACCATTCGTAGCTCTGGGGGTCTTTCACGCAGAAGCACAGGCTTTGAGGATCTGCCAGGCCAGAGAGGCCTCATCCTGCCCCACTCCACTAGTGGCACTTCTAGAAGATGCTCCCGGCTACAGCTCAGGCCTCCCCTCTAGGAAGACATTGTATTTAATTTCTTGGTCTTTAACCTGGTCGGGGGTTAGGTATTCTGCTCCTCCTACTATGTGAATCCCCACTCCTCACTCACTCCACCCACACACATCCCCACACCGCCCCGCCGCACCCCCCCCGCCGCCACGAGGGCTCAGAGCAGCATTGAATTGATAAGGCCCGTGTGCTACAGAACAAGGGTCACATCTGCTAGCGTTGGCTATACTCGGCTACCACAGGCCACGCATGGGGCGTGATCCTGCATTTCCCAAACACCTGTGCCCAGAACAGCATGCCCAGCTCGGTAAGCCATGGCTCAGAACATGCATAAGCGTAGGTCCCTGCTGCCCGTCTTCCTCCAGGTCCTTGTCAGGCCCAAGATGGCATCCCCTTGCCCCTGATCGGTGCTGAGCTGGGGGTGGAAGGCAGGGGCTAGGGAGCCCCTCTACCCTATCTGATCCCAGACCCGCCTCCTCAGTGCCCCATGCCTGGCCTGGCTATATTTAGCAAGCTCAATTCAGTAACTAGAGCCGCTGGGCCACCCCAGCCCCCTCCCCTTCTGAGGACCCTGCAGGGGCCGGTTTCTCACATGTTTTAATCAAGTCTTCCACTTCTCCAGGCAACAGACACAAAAGGCCTGGACCAGGTGGTGGAGTTGCTCTGGCTCCTACACAGAGATTCTATTTTCTGTTCTGCCTTCTTTCAGGCCGGGTAATTAAGGATCTGTCCTCAGAAGCGTTCTGTTTCTTAGCATCAGCTGTTAGAAAGTCCGTTTACGTTAAGCTGGTCTCACCACTTCTGTGTGTGTTGCACTGCAGAGTCCTGTATCACAGACACGGCCTCTGTGCTGGGTGTGAATGCATGAGCGTGCACACTGCAGTTACACGGACAGTGTGCATGCCTGTATTAGTTTGTGAACACGGTGCTCACTGGTCAGTGAGTCTGCCTCGAGGGCTCACTCTGTGCCAGGCTGACATGGTCCAGGCGAGGGCACGCCATGACAAAGCAGAGGCGCAAGCTTGCTGTGCCCGTGGAGTTTACATTTTAGTAGCAGAAACAGTAAACCGTGCAGTACAATCATTTCAGGCAGTGAGATGCTGAAGGAAATACAGATCGATGCATGGAGAATGAAGGGCGAGCGACTTTCCAGAGGGTCACAGGCAAGGCCTCCCCGAGGAGGCAGGAAGGTCCGGAGGCCAAGCATTCCAGGCAGAGGGAACAGCAAAGACAAAAGGCCTCTGAGGGAGTGAGCATGGTGTGTTGGGAGCTGGAGATCAGGAGCAGGGCTGGGTGTGGACGGGGAGTGGTAGGAGCTTAGGTCAGAGATATCAGCAGGGGCTGGTCCTGAGGATTCAAGGAGTCAGACCTTGGCCTCTGCGGTCACATTTCCTGGGCCTAATTCCCAACTGTGCCACTTACTAGCTGTGTGACCTTGAGTAAGGTACTTAACCTCTCTGGGTCTCTTGGGGGGTAATGACAGTACCTCCTTTAGAGAGCCTTGGGTTAACCAAACGAGTTAACATATGCAAAGGACTCAGAACACTGCCTGGTACATAGTAGGTGCTATATGTGTCAGCTGTTCTTTTCAATAGGTGTTTGCTATTATGATCAGCCTTATTGTCACTACAACAAAGGAGCTTAGATTTTAAGAGGTGTGCATTTGTCTGCTGGGACGAGTTCTGGACTGGCAATTAGGAGAGCCCTGAGTCTTACTCCTTGTTCTGTCTTCAAGTCCCTTGTTCTGTCCAGTCCCTCTGAGGAGGAGCAGGATAGTCCGGTGGGGCCCCAGCTAAGTAGCTGACCCAGGAGTTGGCTCTGGAGGGTAAGGTCTTAATACGAAGATAATGTGTCACCAAGGGAGTGAGCTCAAGTCTCATCCAAGAGAGTGTCATAGACCAGCTAAAGCTCAAAAGACATGTCTGTCCCCTGGAGCAGGGAAGGAGGCAGGGTGAAGAAGTGAGAGGGAGGCAGGCAGGGGCCGGAGGAGGCTGGACAGCAAGGCTGGCTTCCCAGAAGCCTCTTCACTGGTTTTGGCCTCCCTGTGCACTATGGGATGGCTGGATAACAGCAAAGGCTCGAGGTCATCTGGGCACGGGCCTGGGGACCGGCCACTGCCTCGTTTTCATCTATCAAATGAGGGAGTTGGTTGAGGGGATGAATAAGCTCCTTTCTAGATATTCCCCTCAAAACATCTATGGGCCTGAACCACTGGGGGCTCGGGGTGTAAGGAGAGATGGGGGGCCTCTTTGAGAATAAGGAGCCCTGGGTCTGTGGCTGTCTGGGGATGGAGTGTTGCTTTCCTCTTAGCCAGCTGGAGGCAGAGAAGGAATGGTGTTTGCAGTCCTGGCTCGGGGCTGGCCCTGTGACCAGGCCTCATAGGTGTGTAGCCAGCCCGGAGGAGGACTTCCATCAGAAATGCCCACCCCTCTCCTCACCTAGACGAGGAGAGTCACTGACAAGGTCCACATATTTACAAACTCACATCCACACCCGTACAACGCATGGGCCTCTGAGAATTTATAGATCACTCAAATTTTTGTAAATCAAATTCTGTTCCGTGCACTTGGTTGCTTACTGTTTAGAGAAGCTCTGGTGCAAAGCCTTCTGTGACGCACATCTCTCTCCCCCTGGAAACGTCAAGGTTCGTGTCTAGGCTTTCAAAGTACACGAGCTCCTGTCGGTTCAAGTGTGTGTGTGTGTGTGTGTGTGTGTGTGTGTGTGTGTGTGTGTGCATTTGCATTCGCTCTAGCACATGAAAGGATCCATGAATAAAAATGTTTTCTTTCTCTCCCAGGCTTTGTTGTGGTATGTTGCTGGAAAAAAGACACACTGTTCAAGCAAAGGGCAGACCCTGAGCAACTCAGATCTCTATCCGAGCGAGCTGCCCGTCCTTCCTGGCGTCTGACTGCTGCTCCCCACGGGGGCCACTTCAGGGCGAAGCATAGAGGAAGCTTAATAATCTGGGAAAAATGGAAGATCTGCCTGCTGCCTGGAAGGGAGTGGGGAAGGGAGGCAGCCGTGGGAGAGCAGAAGGGGGTGATGGTGATGGGCATTCTCCTGGAACTCATTCATGAGCTTGCATTCTAGAATGAATTATTCATCCGAGGACATCCAGGGGACCATGTTGTTTGCTTTCTGCTTGTCTGCAGGAAGGGGATGGTGGCCCTAAGCGTTGTGCGTTCCCGTGCTCGGAAGAGTGGCTTGACCCCCCCCTGGTGAATGTGTGGCACCTCCCGGGCCTTGCCTCTGGGCTCACCGCCCCGCACCTCCGAACTCTGCGTGGGGAAGGGTCCCTTCCCTCCCCAGCCTCCTTCCACAAGCTGGCGCAGGGGCCAGCGAGGAGCCTCTGGAAAGCTCTCCTTCATCATTTATTAACAGTCCCTGCCCTCGTCCCTGAAATAATCAGGGTCCGGATAGTTTCACATCATGCAGTTAATTGCCATCTGCACTGCTTAACAAGTCAGGGCACTGGTGGTGATCTGGAGGCCCATGGAGGATGGTGGATGGGAAGTGAGTCAAGGTGTTGGCTGCCACAGCCTGGGGGCGGGGTGGGGGGAGGGAGCCCTCAGTGGGATGTGAGAGGTGGCAGGGCTCACGTTCACAGGAAAGGTGTTAGGAGCCTACTTCTCCTCCGGGAGAAGGAGAGGGAGATGAGATCCTGGCAGAAAGGCAGGCTCTCACCACGACAGACACGCCCAGGATGCCCCAGGAACTGCCGGGAGAGCATGCAGATTGGGGGTCAGAAGCCCGATCCTCCCCTTCTGGTTCCCTAGAAGAGAGTCTGAGCTAGGGACTCCTCTGTGTGAGTGGCTTGTTGGAGGAGTGCTCTCAGGAAAAGCTGTGAGGGAGTGAGGGGGCAGGAGAGGGCAGGAGAAGAATCTAGGCCACGCTGCCACCGCAGGTGAGGTCCAGCCTCGGCCTGATCCCACGGGGAGCTCTGGAGCGTGACTGGCTCTGCGGAGCTTGTCCCACCTTAAGACAAGGGGGTTGGCTTTGCATCCCTGCACCAGCATCACTAGCCAGGGGCCATTCCTAGGGGAGGGGGCGTGTGACAGAGGGCTTAACCTCCTGGGCATCTGCCAGGGAGGGGGCTCCTGTGGGCTAAGGACATTCTGCTGGAGAAGGTACAGGTGTGAGCCATTGACAGCCAACACTACAGCAGCTGGGGGTGGGTGCCCAGCTGGTGCAGGAGATCGGGGTGGGGCGCCAGGGGCTCCCGGTACCTTCTTCCAGGGGAGAGACAACAGACACCCGGCTGCTCCGAGGGGGCCGGTTCCTCCCACGTGGAAGGGATTCAGCAGCCTTCTGCTGCTGTGCTGTAGTGCAGAGGGTGCTATGGGCACCTTTAGCCGTCTGTGCTGCATACACACCCGCTACTGTCACTGCACTGACCCCCTGCTGTTCAGTGAGGAAGTGCTGGAGTTAACGCTTGTGGCTGGAGGGCACAGACCCACTCTCGGCTGGATTTATAAGGCTTCTCTCACCCCGTCCTGGGCCTGGGCTCCCTGCATTAGACAAAGCGTTATCCTCAGGGATAACTGACAAGGAAAATGGTGCAGGGTTAATTTTCGGCTCTCAGTCGTGAATTTGGGTGTGAGGACCCATTCCTGGCCGTCTTAGACCAGAGCTGGAGACAAGGCTGAGGGCCAGCAGATGGGCTCGGGGTTCCACGGAGGGGACCCCAGGGGGCCTCTTTCTATCCTCATCTGTTTTGGGGTGAGTGGACTTGGAGGCTCGAAGGGCTGAGTTCTAGGCTGGTGACAACCCTCCGTCACCCAGAGAGGACAGTGAGTGCAAAGGGAGCCCCCCCTCCCTACCCACATGAACCGCCCCCCTTCCCCACCGCTTGCCCCAGATCACAGGCAAAAGGGGGACCCCGCCAAAGGTGGCTCCTGTGGGATGAATGATGTTTCCTGTGTCCAGGGTGTACCCCAGAAGAAGCGGTGATCCTGGGGGAGACAGTGGAGGGGGCTGGAGGACAGCCCTCCACTGTGACAGGTGCTGGGGAGACAGGTAGCTCCGGGAGCCCAGCCAGGCCTGAGGGGGGCGGAGGGCAGGGCCTGGGAGGAGAAGGGAGAGGAGGGAATGGGAGGGGAGGGAAGGCGCTGTCAGCAGAGCCCTCTGAGGAGCCTGGGGCTGAGTGTGGCCTGGGGACAGTGCGTGTTAACAGCGCCAGGGGCAGAAAGGCTGACCCGCTGTCTGTCAGGCTGTCAAGGGAGAGAAAAGAATGACACTCCGGTGCTCCGTTCTGCCTCCAGAGACAGCTGCGGTGGGTACTTCAGCAAGACCGTCGCCTCCCCTCCCCCACGATGCGCCCTTGTCCCTGGGGCATTGGGCCTTGGTGCCCCGACGGGATGTCATCCACCTTGCCCTTTCCTGGGAGAGAACCCCTAGGACACCTGCCCCCAGCCCCACCTGGCCTCCTGGGTGCGCCCCAACTCTCGGGCAGTGGGGAGGCACGCTGGCCTGGGCCTCTATTGGACAGAAAAATCCAGAAAATGACTGGGCTTGGGAAGAATGCATTTGGTTGTCCTTGGTGGGCACGTGGAATTATTTCTGGGGAAACAACTAGGTTCCGCCTTGCAGTGTATGTGTGTGTGTCTGTTGGGGGCCAGGTCACACTGTCCCCGACCCAGGAATGCAGACACCTCAGCAAGCACAGGTCTGACCAGGGGAAACTTTGGCCTGGCTGCTGTTCAGCCGGCACGAGGTTGGGCTCTGCACACCTGGGGGGTAGGAGAGGTGGCTAGGCATTGAGAGACTAGATTTCCTCAGAGGAATCGTGTTGGGGGTCAGGCCTGGGGGACTAGAGAAGGGAGGCAGTGACAAGTCCATCAAAGCGGTCAGGGAAGGCTGCCTGGAGGAGGTGACGCTTGAAAGCAGCACAGCATTTGATTTGTGAGGAAGAAGAGGCAAGAGAGAGTGCACAGGGAGAGCAACTGTGCCAGTTCAGAGTGGAGGCAGGAAGGAGAGAGGGGGGGCTGGCCGGAAGAAAATCTTACCAGAATAATAATCAGCAGCAGCAACAGAGCTAATACAAATTGAATACCTACTATGTGCTGGGGACCATTCTTAGAGCTTTACATATGAATTTATTTAATCCTCACAACAGCCCCATGAGCAAGTGCTATTATTACTTCCCATTTTAGGGAGGAAGAATGTGAGGCCCAGAGAGGTTAGGTAATGGACCCAAGGTCACTCAGCCAGTGAGTGGCAGAATCAGGATTTGAACCCAAGAAGCCTGGCTTTGGGGCCTCTACTCCTAACCCGTAAACCTTTCTATACCACCTGGCACACACTAAGTGCTTCTCATGTGCTGGGCACCATTCTGAGCCCTTTTTCATGGCGTCCTCATTGTTCACCCCATTGTACAGATGAGAAGACAGAGACACAGAAAGGTCATGCAAGGTCAACACAGAGCAGTGGAGCCCCCACCAGACCCCAGGCAGTGTGTGAGTCCTAGGTGACCAGACCACACCGCCACGTGCAGTGGGTGGAGAGAAGGTGTGGGTGAAGGCCTTGAACCCGGGCGTGTGGACGTGCCCCCCAGGCCCTGGGCACTCTGGTGCAGTTTGATGGCCGAGAGGGAGCAGAGACGTGGCTAAGATGCACACAGCTGGGGCGTGTGCCCAGGGGCTGCTCCTCACCAGTGGGTGGAAGATGCAGCCCAGCGACAAGCTTGTTATGGGCCTGGGAAGCCCTTTCTGGAAATCCTGCTCACCCAGGGGCTGGGGTGAGTTTTCTGGCTGGGGCCAAGGGGCTCCCTCTCCCCTGTCCCCTAACTCGAGCCCCACTCCCCGGGAGGCTTCCAAGGCGGGGGCAGGGGGCAGGGCCTGCCTCCTCCCTGGCTCCTGTGGCCTAGTTTCCAGAGCGCCTGACTGGGGCCTGGCAGGCAGGTTATAAATATCCCCGAGTGACAGCAGCGAGGCCTTCACTCTGACACCGATGCGGATTAAGCTGGATGTGCAGCCTCAAGGTCATTGGCATGGCTGCAGCATCCACTGCTCTGGGAGGGCCGAGTTGAGGGGACCACCAAGGAGGCAACAGCAGGAAAGCCAGGGCCTGAGCCCCCAGTCCTGCCCAGCTCGGACTTTCCTCTCATAGTCCAGGTCTTCGCTCCCACTCTTCCCTGCTAAATCTTCCCCCACTCTCAGCTTCGTCTGCCCTCCCCAAGCCTGCTCTCTTTTTCTCAGCCCAGTCTGGGCCCAAAAGCCCCCAAGCCACAAGGCCTTGGTGGGGGTAGGGTTTGTCAGGTGGGAGGATGAGTTGTCAGGCGGGGGGATGGGTTGTCAGGTGGGGGGATGGGTTGTCAGGTGGGGGGATGGGTTGTCAGGTGGGGGATGGGTTGTCAGTGGGGGATGGGTTGTCAGGTGGGGGATGGGTTGTCAGTGGGGGGATGGGTTGTTAGGTGGGGGATGGGTTGTCAGGTGGGGGCAGTTCCTGGCCTGTCCAACTTCTGCCTCAGCCACACCTCCTCCTCCAGCCCCTCTCTTCTCCCACCCTTCCTGAATGGAGTTGTCTAGTGACTGAGTTGACCCAGCAAAGCTGTGCCCAGCCCCTGGGGACCTTGCATGTGTATGAGTAACCATGTCTACTCTGCGTATAAAAAAGATATTTGGAAATCTCAGAGACTCACAGCCAGGCAGGACCTAAGGGATGAATTTATGCTGTGAATGAGGCTCAGAGAGGGCACATGGTGTGTACTTGGCCAGAGCTCAGGCTTTCTGAGCTTTCTGACCCCCAGCCCCATGCTCTCCAGTGACAACCTGCCTTTGGATTTGGTGCCATGTCAAAGGAGCCCCTGTGAGGCCCAGGG